TGCCACACACACCCGGGGCAGCGGCGACCGGGAGCGCTGCGTGAGCGGCGGCGGCGGCCCTGGGCACGGGAGCGGGCAGGAGCGGAGGTACGCACCGCCCCGGGGTGGCGGGGGGCCGGCGGGGGTCCCCTCTGCCCCCCCTACCCCGGCGCAGCCGGAGGGCAGGGCCCCGGGAGGCCGCTCCTTTCCGGTTCGCCCCGGGGACACGGGTCTGCCGCGGACACGGCGCTGGATGGGGCCGGGGAATCGGTGACAGCGAGGCATCACGGCTGCGGAGCCGGCTCAGGTGCTTCGCACCGGTGGCATTTCACCCGGCGCCGCGGGCCAGGGTGCGCAGCGGGGAATGGAATTTGAACCCCCGGCGCACCCTCGGTCGGCGGAATCAGCCCACGAAGTCCCTGACCTTTTTGTGCGCTCCGCACCCCTGCCAAGCGCAGGCCGGCCTTTGCTCCCCCCAAGGAGAGGAAGGCTCCGGTGCTCTCGCTGCGGGAGCAGGCAGGTATGGTGCGAGCCTGGCGGCCACACGCAAATCCGGCTACTGTGCGAGCTGTGAGACAGCAGCAGGCTGAGGTGGAGCAGGAGGAGTTAGTCGGGCTGAGTCATGATTGGGTTCGCCCCCGTTGAGCCTGTCTTCCTCGCTGCCTGTGATCTGCAGACTGCTGACGTTCCGATTTCCCTCCTTTACTTTTTTTGCTAGGGATGACCTCTAAGGATGCTTCAGGTGAAGCTCATAGTAACTGGAGATGACTTTGGCTATTGTCCTCGGAGAAACCAAGGCATCGTGGACTGTTTCCTGGCTGGTGCGGTATCTAACGTGTCCCTTCTAGTCAACGGAAGTGCTGCAGCAGATGCAGCCAAGCTGGCAAGGAGGTAAGCTACTTTCTTTAGCTCCTTTGTGGACAGCCTCCCCAGGCCATCCACGCAAAGCCAAGCCTGTAAAATCTAGTGTTTTGTAGCCCCAGTACAAACACTGTATCACAGCCCAGGCTGGTATAAGAAAACCAGATTCCAGGCATATTTACTAAGACGCTTCATAGTAAACCCAGTGACCTGCCAACTGTACCCGTAATGGCTCTTTCTCTGCTGTTAGCCACTGCAGTGCACCTTTTTTTCCCCTTGGGATAGAATGCTACTTACACAACTTGACTAGCAGAGTTTGGGTTTGTTGGACTTTCTTTTCCCACACTTCCAAAAGATGTGCCATCAGAATGAAAGTCCACGCTATATACCCAGAGCAAGCTGCTACCCCTAAAACTATTAGACTATAAAAGCACAAATCTTTAAATCTCATTTATTTTGATGCATTTCAGCCAGGCTGAACACAGGATCAGCCAGGTTCATTGAAGGATCAGGGAAAGGTGTGATTCTGCGAGGGCTAAGTTGTTAAGTCTGGGCAGCGGAAAACTTGTTTTTTCCACCCCAGAAACCTTTTAAAAAAGCACCTCAATATTTCTATTAATTCAAGGCTTGATAAATCCATTTGCAAAACCTGCATACATAAAGAGAGGGACGATACCTTGTACTTACCACCTTTACTCCTTCACGAACTTTTCAGAGAGGTTGCTGGCACACTTGTGGCTCTGTAAGAAATCAAATGCTATGTGTCATTCTCCTAGGCTAGCCCAGCAAATCCTTTAATAGGAAGCATTACTTGTATTTAGAAGGTAAAACCCAGCTAATACATCGCTCCAGTGTGGGCAGGCACTTGGAAGCAGGAGTATGTTCTGAAAGAGAGAGCAGCAGGGTTCAGAAACAATTCAGGAAAGCAGAAAAGGAAAGGAGCTGTACTGGTACTGGAAGAACTGAGACCTTATGCTTCAAATAAAGCTGCTGCAGAGGACAGTTGCATGAGAGTCACGCTGCCCTTGTTCTCCTTGAGCATCTCGCCCCAGTTTGGCTGTGATTTTAGGGGTACTTGGAAATTGCTTGCAGCTTGTTCCTTTGATGTTAGGTGGTACAGAAAAGCCAGGGTGTGGTGTTAGTGGCAAGCTGGTCTTCTGTTGAAAAGGTTAGAGATTACACACAAACATTGTGAGAGGAACTGCCTCTGAGATAAGGGGAGAGGTGGAAGGACACAACACTGTTGAGATGCCTAAAATCCTGTTAGTAAATGAGACAAATGTAAAACAGAGATAAAGCCAGCACTTCTCTCAGACACAGAGGCACCATGAAACCCTTTAAGCCCCAATGCTTGGGTAATGTTGTCAGCTATTTTAGCAGTGGTCTTTAGCAGGCTTTTAAATATAGAATCCACCTGGCCTCATTTCCATAGGCGGAAATTAGGCCATGCAATCAGAGGTTTAAAAAACATCTTTGAGTCCAGGTCATGACACTTGTGCTGACAGCTGGTATGGGTGTGAAAAACCAGGTTAGAGGGCAGGTGACAGCAGAAGCTGCAACCTGCTGCTACAATTTCATTCTTTTGGGGAGGTAGTTTTGAATTGTAAATGTGAATGAAATGGATTTATATTTATTTCTGACAATATAAGCAGGGTGACTTTGGGAACATCTGTTCAGCACTGAAGATCAACAGCCCAGGTTCTGCAATTCCTCGTTTGTGTAACTCTCTGCAGTTGTATTCAGCCTTACCCACACATGGGGGAAGCATTTGCAGGTTTGGGAAAAAGGGTTGGTCATGTTCTAATGCAAGCCCGACTTCAGGTGCTGCTAGTACACATGCACTTAATTGGCACCTATGCATGTAAATGAAATCTTGTGTCACCCTTAAGATGTTTGTTCCTCTGTTGCAGAGGTTCACGCAAACTCTTTTTAGACACAGATATCTAATAGGTCAGACTTACTAGAAATGTCATTAAGTCCTCCTCGTCATATGGTGCAAAAATGGGAAAGCATCACTGTTGCTTGACTGCCTTGCCACTGTTATTCCCTCTTCCCCCTGCTTGGTGTTGTCTCCCATCCCACTGTGAATATTGAGGCTTTGCAACATTTTGTGGTTTATGGGATGAAAGTCTGCCCTGTATTTTCTCCCCATGTTTGTATTCCCCCACAGACACTCAACTAAGCAAGTACAATATATACACACATGCATATGTGCTTAACTCCATAGCAGACATTTCAGCCTTGACCAGTGGGTGTAAGCAGGGAGACTGGATCTATCACCAGCTGAGATAAGAGGTTTGAAGCAAGTAGCTTGCTCTTTCCTGCAGTGCATTCCAGTGTTGGGGGATTTGGTCTTTTGCACACATGGTGCCAGGGTTGTCAGAGTGCTGGACTGTTTCTATGGCTTGTGGAGATTATCTGAGTGGCTCTTGATTAACTGTCTGTGACATGGTTGCTCATCACTGCAGGTCTTGGGCTCTCTCTCCTCACCTGGTTTTCAGTTAATTGGACACAGGCAAAGCTAATTAGTAACAAGACAACTTTTCTTGCAGGATAGTCCTCCTTAAGCACCTCATGCTGCTCTGCAACGTTAGGACTCAGCATCTTTCAGAAAGGAACACAGTTCCTCTGGAATTTTATTTTTCCCTTCATTTTCACAATAATTCTGTAGGCTTCTGAGTATACCATCTGTTGCCCTGTGTTTTGATTAGAAGCCTTGGCAGAAATTTGATGGTAGTCAGCAGATCTTTGTATCAGTTCTAACGCAAACTAATTGCAAAACAGCAGAACCAAACAGTAAATAATACACCTTCCCCGACATCTAGGTTCTTGATCTTGGGCTTTTCTTGTTCACTGTCACAACTGGGCTAAAAGAAGGGACCCACTCACTGCAAAAGAGAAGTTTCAGCAGAGGCCTGATTCATCACCAAATGACAAACCTATTGATAGCAACTGCTAGAGCAGTACATAACCACAACAGCAGGTGGGAGAACAGACTTCCATTGTGGGTTTGGTTTTTTTTTCAGTAACTCAAAACTTTTTTTTTTTTTTTTTTTATGGGGCATAGACTGACTGCGACTTCCTGGTTATCCATATAATATAATCTTGATTTTCTACTTACCAAGCCTCACCTTGAAGTCAGCCAGTCTTCCTGGTGATTATTCCAGAGCCTTTCCCAGAGACTGGAAGGGTTATTTTGTTACCTGAAATTAGTAGGTCCCTTCATTTTTCCTTAGAAACATCGAGATAGCAGAAATAGAGAGACCTAAGATTGTTTGCTGCCATGTTTTCCCCCCTTTTATCAACAGCTCAGTTGTCACTGAGTATTAGGACCCTTTTCCAGATAATTATATCTAAATACTTGATGAAGAGTGACATATTTTAGAACACAACCTCAGTCTTCCTCGTTTTTCTGCAGTTTAAATGCTGAACATCAGCTACACAAAAGCTGAAACCCCCACAACATCTGGGTACATTTAATAGGAGAATCTAACAAAACCACATTTAATTGCTGTCTGTGTTTTCACTTCCTTTCCCATCAACACTAATTGCAAAATGTGTGTGTAAATTGTGACTTAATTCTGACCCTCCCAGTCAACATCTGACTAATCTAGAAGTCTCTCATGCTTTCTCATCACCCTTTTATCTGACTGTTAATCACATAGCAGACAGTTCCACTGCTGAACTGTGTTTGGGTTAGGGGTGGGGCCCAATCTGAGGCTTTGAACTAGAATCTGAGATCATATTAACTTTACTGGCAACAGCACTTTTTGCTGATGTAAGGTCATGGACACAGGAGCTTCAGTTGATACAAAGATGTAATTAAAAGGAAAGTCATGTCCCTAAGCTATATTACAGAACCAGTTCTTAACACTGCAGAAGCTTTGGAGGGTTTCTTCCAGCAGAAATAAGTCCTTAGCAGTAATAGAGCAAGACAAGATGCTATTTGATGAAAGACAGTTAGATCTTACAGTTTGCTGAAGGGTGAAAGGGGCGGGGGGGAAGTATGCAAATGCCAAAATGCAAAAACTAAGAGGTGTACTTTTTTGCACAAAGCACAGCCTTGCTTTGGCTGCAGGCACTTGGATGTTTACTGAAGCAGGATGTCTAGATACAGATAGTTACATGAGGCTCTTAATTGTGCCACAATTGGGCTGACACCTGATGAACCAGTAATTTCCAGGATAAGGATACGAACAGGATGCTGAAGGTGGCATCTGTTTATCCATCAAGGAAAAGAGTAAGTGCCATGCTTATGCCAGAGCATGCAGCCTTCAGCAAGACAACTGGGACTGTGCTCGGCGCGTCACGTAATTCCCACAGCCACTGCAACTGTTCCCAGGAATGCAGGAACTGCAAAGGGTCCATGCTGTGGCCAGGCAGAACCCAGGGCACTGTTAGTCATCCACCAAGCTCAGAAAAGTGCAAAGCTGGTGGGCTGTTTAAAGAGTGACTCAGTATAGTAACAGTCTCCAGGAACCCTTTACTGCTAAGGATGTGAGTGAACAGGGATTGCAGCTGCACAAAAGCCCATTGCCTCAGCAGAGACATTTGTTCAGAGCGTTCGTGTGGCAAAACAAGCAACTACTTGAAAAGGAAGCATTTAGCTGATTCTATTTCCTCTCTCTATTTGATGACTGGGCTGGGCTTGCTGACTCAGAAATCTTTCCAGACTGAATTCCTTGTTACCCCTTGTAGCATTTGTTGTAAGGGTATCTCCCCCCCCCAGTCCTTTACAGGGCATGCTGAGCAGAGAACCACAGAGCCAGGCTGGCTTTAACAACCAACTTTCTCTCAGTGGAAACAGCTCACTAATGGATTAACCTTAGTGGCTGCAGAAGCTACCGGCCTGAACCTCTTCTCAACAAGCTCACAGACAGCCCAGTCTAATGCTCCTTATGCTATAGGAGTACACACGTGGAGACACTGTCCTTTGGCTTTATCAGGAGTGAACTGAACCCCTGTGCTAAATCCTGCTCTACATCTGTGCATTCTCCAGCACAGTGGGACAGACTTGCAAACACCTAGACATGGGCCTCTCCAAACAGATTGTGGAAGGGCCATTGCTGCTTAAAACAACCATCAAAATGAGTTTAGAGATACCAAGCAGATTCCTCAGCATCATTTTGTTTTGGCAACACTGGCTGTTACTGCAGTGCTTTTACTGCAGAAACTAAACTGTTGCTTGAAGCTCAATGCCAATCATTTTATTTTGAATTTTGGGCGGAGCAATCAGCAGTTAGACTTGACTGGCAAATGTCCCATCTATAAAGGACTTAGGCAGAAGAGTGGGTATGAGGCCAAACCCACAACAGCTGAGCTCTGTTCCCAGTGTGGCATCACATGCTGTATAAGCTGCTTGAGCTGCTGGTCTCTGCTTCAGTATTTCAGCCAATAAAATAGCAGATACTTTACAGTCTTTGAAAGATGTGGGTAACTATAAAGTATGTTTGTGTAGTAGAAACAATCATCCACCTTCTGAAAAAGGGGCCCTTCCAGGATATTCCCATAACTTCACTTTTCTCTCTGTCTTTTTTACAATACAGCATGCCTTGGCATTGTTCTTTGGTTGCAGAAGCTACATTTCAGTGGTGAGAGGCACTCAGAAGCAAAAGTCAGTCCAGTGTGTGTAGCAGTCAGTAGGAAAAAAGCCTGTTGGTTCAGTCTTAAAGCCCAAGCCTCCGGTCAGGACAGAGCATGACTGGAGCCCTGTCTCCCAAGGCACAGCCCAGCTAATTACTATAATGCTTTAAGTTTTGCTCATGTTTTCATCTCATTGCACTTAGAACTTTAGATACTCATGCAGTGCGTGTCAGGACGGTTAGGAATAAACACCAGGCAGCAGGGCATTTGGTGCTGAATAGGAGCATCATTTGGCTCATTGCATCCAGAGGAAACACACATATTCTAGCTAGCAGCTAGCACCCTGCTGTGCCCACTGTATTGTCCTCCTTCCCATATCCTTACAGCTTTCCCAGCATGCCTGCTTCTGTGCGTCTCCCACAGATGAATATTTCTGAACAAGTTTCTCTTGTGCTGTGCTTTGAGTTTTGGTTTCAGTCCCTGTACACTAGAGCCATTAAACACTAGCAGTTCCTCTTCAGATGCCTCAGCATGGACAGTCTGTCAAACCAGCCAGGACTAAGCCTAAGAGAAAACTATTAAGATATTCAGCTGGTGTTAGCCAAAGCTCTGAAACATGCTCTAATGTTACAGTCAGAGTCTCCCCTTACAGTGAGAACAAGGCCAGCTCTCTCTGCACTTCCACGTTCTGCACATTCCCCTGGTTTCAGCTCAGGCGGAGGAGTGGCTCTAATGTTACGCAGTGCAGTGCCTGGCTCCTTGGTGTCCCACACCTGTTGGAGGGGCTTGCCTTTTCCTGGAAATAGCTTCCCTCACAGCATTTGACGCATTGCAAAATTGGAGGTAGTTCATTCGATGCTCCTGGGAGACAACACTGAGAGCCTCAGCTGTTCATTTCTTGCCCTCCCACAACACATGAGAAGGAGGGCGCTCAACAAAAAAAGTCTTCCATCTGCTGATTCATGGTAACACATGAATCCTTTTTCTTGCAGACAGCAGTGGCTGTGGTACAAATAATGCTATCAGCTGATGCAGTGAGAGCTTCCCAGAGACATGATAAAGAATCTGGGGTGGACTTCTAAAAAAACCCAAAACTAAACCACAGGCTTGCTCTCTGCCTTTGGGCTCATGCAGGGTACACAGCAGGTCACAGGATGGAGGGGAAGGCCTCCTGCCACAGCACCCCTTCTACACTGCCTCCTGCCCTGCCATCAGCTGCCTGCTTAAGGGCCCCCACTCCCAATGACAGCACCTTCCACTTCTTGTATTAGCAAGGAGTGAGTGTGCATGTCATGTGCTCAGGGCCCATGTAGGAAAACCAGATGAACATTTATTGTCAATTATACAATCAGGCCCTGCTGCAGAGAAATCACCAAATCAGAAAAGCCAGAGAGGACCTTTCTCTCTGTGAGCTGTTTTGCTCCATTAAGCAAAAATTCAAGCTCCCTAAGCACACAGTGGACTGGAAAGACATGGACTCATTTTGTTTCACAGAGCTGTCCATACAACTTGACTCATAACATTTATGACTTTGAGAAGGAGCAGCATCTAGCAACAGACTACACCATCCGCCTGGAAGCACAAGACATGGAAGAGCCAGGAAAAGAGACTTTCAGTCCTGCAAAGGCCAAAGCCTTAGGACCTAAAGGAGCTATAAATGACTTTGACTTGGTCCAATCCATCTACAATCCTTCTGTCTCCAGTAACTTGGTGCTTCACTAGTCACCTTCAGGGCAGCAGACAGAAGGGGAAGATCTGTTTTTTGCCCACTTTGCCTAAATGGAGATTGCTTTTGGTTTCCCCCTTGTGGTACAAGGGCTGTAACAGGGACAGATCATGCCCAGTTTTAGCAGCTCTATGCAGAAGTTCCAGGAAGAATTTAAAGCATCACAGACTTGTTGCCTTGAAATTAAATCTGCACCATGACTCAGACTGGCAGCACAGAAGGAACATTGCAGTTCTGTCATTTACTTACTGTGTCTTGGAAAAAGTTTCAAAGCATCATTTTGGCCACTGATTCTGAGGATTTCCAGAAGTGCTAATGAAACTCAGCACAAATCTGAGCACTCACAGGTCCTGTTTTTATTGTATAGGGGAATCCACAGCACAGATGAAGAAGGAAACACCAACACTCTGCAAAGCCCTGTGGCTGAGAGCTGCTCTGCAGATACACTAGCTCCATAGTTCCGTTTAATTTCTTTTTTCCTTTTTTCTTTTCCTTTTCCCCCCCTTTTCTTTTTAATGTTGCAGAGTGCAACTAGTTAATACATTGTACCCTTGTGATTCCTTAGCAAGGCTCTGCACTTACACTGCCAATCTCCCTGCAGTAATCCTTTGTCTGTGCCAGAGAGATGCTACTTTGTACAGCTTAGCCTTGTCTCCCAGTGAGTGATCATCTGCACCAGTAGACAGAAACCTGGCCACTGTGGGCAATTTCAGCTGCAGCCTCTTGGACCAGGAAACCCTTAAACTCAGACAGCATTTACACTCGTAGCCTATACTGTTGCCGTAACAGCTGCCTTGGGCACTGTTTATATGTGACTGGATTCTACTTAAGGGCAGCTTTGGAAGTTGTCAAGTAAAACTCAAACATCTCATAAATGTAGTATCTTTAATAGGGTGAACAACTCAAGGGAATACCTAGCAAGGGCCAATAAATTGCTTTAGAAAAGGGTTGCAAGGTCCAGATTTTTCTTTTAGTAACTAGTAACTGCAGGGCAGTTAGTAGTAGCATACAATTATAGCATTTAGTGCAGTTACAGCATTTTAATGCAGTTATAGCATTTAGCCTGAGATACCTCGTGGCTGCTCTCTCCACAAGTCAGGGTGGGAAGAGTTGGGGGAGTCTCTCAGACCGGCCCTTGGCAGACTGCACAGGGTTGCTGTTACCTGGAGATATTCTGCTCTGGTTAGTGTTGTTCTGTGTTCCTTTCTAGAAAAGCAGGAATACAAAGATGTACTCCACTGAGTACAACACCACTTTTTAGATCAGTCCAGATCTTTCACTGAAATCTCCCCCTTTGGCCACAGTAAGGAAGGTAGAGGTGCAAAGCTTAACAGGCATTTCATTTCTGTTACAGATACAACATCCCAATAGGCCTGCATGCCAACCTCTCCGAGGGCTCTCCTGTATGTGAGGTGCTCAAGACAAACTCTTCTCTGCTCAACCAAGATGGATTCTTCCATGGGAAAATGGGATTCAGAACAGCTCTATCAAAAGGTCTCCTGAATATGTCAGAGGTAGGAGAAAGCCAGATACAACCATGCAATTTGCTTTCCTGATAGAGATCAGCCTGCACTTATCCCAGCACATAACAGCTGAAGATCTTTCCCAGGTCCCAGCTGTGACTAAGCTTAGAGATGAACCTTGACTGTGTTGCCTGGGCAGCTGGACCTGGCATTCTGCGTCCTGGACCTGGCTCTGCCAAAGGCTCTGCAGCCTCTGAGAACTCATTCCTCCCTGCTTCAGTGCCTCCGTACACTGATGTCCTGTTAAATACTTATCTGAGGAGGCAGAAGAGGCATTGGAACGGATATTTACAAAACCCCTAGAGATCAGTAAAAGGAAAATGCCAGAGAAGTGCTAAGTAGGCAGTAGGCTTTTCATCACCTTGTGAGAGGCTTTTGTTGTCTAGGGAGATGGCTGGTTTTGTCCCATGAGCAAGGATGGATCTGTTCACGTGATCAAAACTGCCTACGGGATATGAGCACCCATTTCCCCATTCATTTTAAAGGGAAATGGGTATTCAAACAGCCTATGTATTTTAGAAAATCCCACTATCAGCACCATCCACATAAAGACTCCCATGCCTAAGGGAGGTTCTAGGCAACCCAGCGGCATCGCATGTCCATTTTATACATCATAGCACTTTGTGCCTCCCAGGACCGCACCCCAAGTACTGGCCAGCAAGGTCTCCAGCAGCCCCCTTGTGCTCTCCTCATCTCAGCCTGCTGACAGGTTTTGCTCTGACCCTTCTCTGCTGCGCAGGTGAAGCAGGAGCTGAAGGCCCAGGTGGAGCTGTTCCATGAGCTGACAGGTCACCTACCTCCTCACATGGATGGGCACCAGCACATCCACGTCCTCCCAGGTAAGAAGGGAGTCTTCTTCCCAGCGCTGAGCAGGTGAGAGAGTCAGAGAGTCAGCTCAGAGGGGACTGACTCCCCTTGCCACAGCTCCCTGTTTGGGCAATAAACCTCACCTTAAGAGACTTGCTCTACAATTGCAGTGTGAATGTTCCCACCTGGGCCCTGGGGAGACAGTGCTGCCCCGGGCCCAAATTGGCTGCTTGGTGACCTGGGTCTTCCCATAGCAGCACAAGAGGATTAATGGCACCAATGGCTCAGGTTATACCTTTTCCTCCAAGGACTGATAATTCACCTCAGCGTCCTAACTCCATGCTCCCACCCACATCGAAGGAGGCAGACCAGGGCCATCAGCAGACTGGCCAGTTTAAACTGGAATGTTTGAGTTTGCAAAAGCTGTTAGCTCCTTCAGGTGCTACAAGAACTCCATCCTGTCAGTTGTGTTTCTGCACCAGTCTCTGCAGGCCTCAGCATGCTTTACAGAGATGAGCAAGTATCTTTAGTCCCCGTTTTGCAAATAAGGTCACTGTGGTACAGAAATGGAAAACTGAGTGAGCAAAAAAAATCCGGATTTCCCCACTCCAGCACTCAGCTGCCTCAGATGACATTGCTTTTGGCAATTTACCCTCACAACAAATCTGGCTGTGCAGGGACTTGATGAAGAACTTGTTCCTGACAGTGCATCACCTCTGGTGCACTCTAGGACCAGAGTCACTAACTTAGAAGGGGTTGCTGGACTAAATGCTCAGTGCTGGAGGGAAGACAAGGCACCTTATAGCAGATGTTGAGGGAGTAATGTCTCCAGTACAGAAGGGGACTCCCATCCAGATGGAGAAAACCATTTCGGCAGAAGATAAGCCAAATGGGATTATATTTTCTTAAACATGGAAAGACGTCTCTGTGCTAACAGCTTGCAGGGGACATGATGAGCTGGGTATCTAATTCGTGACTATAGTGTCTCTGTTTTTACTTACAGAAGTCAGGCACGTATTTGCAGAGGTGTTAGAGGAATATGGGATTAAGTACACACGTGTCCCAATAGAGCCAGGCCTTCATAACTGTGACTGGATTCCACCATCCCTGATGGACTTTTATCTGGGAGTAGAAGAAGATTCTTTTAACACCGTGGATGTGTTTACAAGGCATGGAATAAGGTAAGACAGGCATTACTCATCCTTTTTTTAGTAAAGCTTTAGATCTTATCAGTTCCTGATAGCATCTTTTCAGAATGGAACACCACCTTTCTCTTTCCGCTTTGGGGCTTACAAGAAGGTTTAGGAGGAGTACAAAAGTGCTGGGGGCACTACTGCTTAGTAAGAAGTTTTGCTTGAACAGAGATGACTCACTTCTCACCTGAAAGGGATTGTTCTTTTAGGGTATGTTTCTCAGCCTTTCTAGTGAAGCTGCACTAGCCTGGCATCTGGGACAGGAGGAGGCTGAAGTGCTGTATCAACACTGGAATTTTAGAAGTATGATCTAGGGAAAGTTTTCAAGAAATAACTTTTCATCTCCCTGGAATAGTGGAGAAAGGCTTTTATGTAGCAGGGAAGAGACTAATTAGAAACAAGCATTTGTTGTTAAGGGGAGGCATGAAGCTCAGAGCTTGCAGTGCCACAGCAGGTGACCACTGCTCTAAGCAAACAATCTTGTCAGTGTTCTGCATCTCAGGGGCCAAACCCAAAAAGCTCAACCCTTCCCCCAATAACATACTTTTCTTAAAGGCTTAGACATGTTTTATGGATTAAAGACGTTTTATGGATTAAAGACATTTCATTTGAGACCCTTGCAGTCACCTGTCCTTTGGGGCAAATTTCATTACTTTCTCAGTCTACTGAAAAAGAAGTTCTTGTGTGTTTTTTTGTTGTTGTTGTTGTTGTTTTTTGTTTTTTGTTTTTTGTTTTGTTTTTGTATAAATTGTTCTGAATGCTTGCAGTAGGCTGGCATTTCACCATGCTCTTTCCAGCCGGAGCACACGGACTCTACTCAAACAGCCCATATTTAAGGGAGAGAAAGGCACAGCAATTCATAGAGCAGTTCCTCAGGAGACAGTAACCCTCCTTTTAGAGCAGTTTCACAACAGGGGCAGTGCAGGGGAGTTTAGTGGAAACCTCGCATGCTCCAGGGCTCCCCGTGCTACCAAAGGGGCAGGGGTGGTGTTGGTCTACCTCTGAGAAGCTGCTGCTCCAGCGATTCACCTCTCCAGAGGCGCAAAGAGGAACTCGTGGGGCTGCCCCAGCTGTGGCCACCCCTGCTTGGACACACACCATGCTCCACCTCGTCTCCTGGTGTTGGGAGAGGTGGGGAGGGACAAACGCTTACAAAATAAACACGTAACATGAGGAAACCCAGGAAAATAAGAAGAGTGCAGTCAGCTGAAGTCACAGGGAACCCAACTCTGCAACTCAATTTCAGCATCTGTGCAAAGAGGTACCACACTGAGCCCCTGGAGGTCAGTTTATGACACGGGAGAGCGCAAGACTGTGCTTACCACATAGCAATGAGGCATTAGCAAGTTTAGTCAGTTTACAGTTTAAAAAAGTTCAACTTTTTTCCTAAGTCCTGCAAACTTTTCTCAAGAAGAGCTGAATGTTCAGCTGGGCTTTTCCTTGATTGTGCAGGTAAAGACTCCAGCCTTGGTTTCTTCCAAAAACTTTCTCATTCTGCCCTCGCATACACTTGCACAGCCCTCCTGGGCTTGTATGTGCCACGCTAGAAGAACTGAGGTGTGTAGCCAGACTTGAACAAAGAATTGTGTTGAAGCTACGTAAGAAACCTCCTCTAGCTGGTGTCCTCTTAGCTGTGTGGTCTTTAGCAGTAACATTTTGTCCAGTGTTTTGCCTTTATTATGGCTCTTTGATACATTCTAGCAGGATGCTTTGTTAGCAGGGTGGTTTTCCATTTTATTTCAGTCACTTTTTTTGTCTCCACTTAGCCAAAGGTTATTTTCTAGAGATGGTTATTATTCAGGTTTTAATAGGCATAGCAATGGTAACTTATTTTGATAGTGTGGCATTTCTCAGTTTAGTTCTGCTCTTCCCTTTCATGCCAACAAAGTGCACCTGTAAGCTCACAGATGCCAGACAACCTTGTGCTGTGACAGTACACGTAAATACAGTAATAGCAGCAGTACTGGGGCTTTGCTGGGACTTTCTGTCAGAGTGAAGGACTGCTGCTTTAAATAGTATCCTGGTTTCAATAGTGAAAGCAGCAGCATTACTGGCTTGTAGTTCTGGTTTTACTTTTGTTTAAAGTCTTACACCCCCTCCCCCATTTTCTATCTTAATTTTTACGTAAATTTTGATTCCTAATCCACTGTATGTAAGACACTCTTTCCTAACTACCTCGTTGGCTATAATATCAGTGTTCCCTCCCCTGGCTACAGATGGCCAGACATTTACATAGGTTTGAGCACCATGGGCAAGAACATGTCTGTCAGTAACATCTGGAGTGCCATTGACACTGCCATCGTGGAGTTCACGTCCAAGGCGTCCTTACCCGCACAGCCGACGCCACAGAGCAGGACAGTAACGATTGAGCTGATGGTGCATCCAGGGTACCCGAGTGTCCCACCCGTCGGCGGCTGTGGGGATGGACCAGACGATTTCTCACAGTCCTGGGAGCGCCTCCATGAACTCCAGACGTTAATTAAGCCAGAGCTGCAGAGCCATTACAAAACCAGGAACATCCAGCTTTGTTCATTCAAAGATCTTTAGGTAAACAAGCACACATACATACATACGTGTATTCATACTCTGAAGATAGGCAGTTGCTAATGTCCCAAGAAGCCAGACCACTGTTATCAGTGTAATACCTCCTGGTACAGCTGACAGGAGCTGCAAACAGCCTGGGAACAGCATTAGGGTGTCCATGGAAGAGCAACACCCTGCGAGCAGCTACAGGCAGTGCCCCAGAGCCCTGACTGGCAGTTTTTAGGCCACAGCATCAGCTCTGAACGTGACAAACCTTGTGTCACCCACTTATGCACCGTTCCAGCACGGCATGGCAGCCAAGGCCCAGCCCTCCTCCCAGGGCTCAGTCCCTGCCAACGCGATAGTGAGCAGCACGGAAACACGGTCTGCTGCGAGGCCAAGGAGCACACTAGCACCCCGAGGGTTCCGATCATTTCTCTTTTTGGACTTACCTGCAAAAAAAGAAACGTGCTGGGGAGCAAGTGTTGCTCTGGAGCAACCGCTCAGTGTAGGCTGCCCACGGGAAGCCTGGCAACCTTCAGCATTTGGTTTTCTTAAAGTGCTTAGTCGTGGTCCCTTCCCCTCCACTTGTACCTGCCCATCGGAGGTGAGGGGTACGTTACCTTCAGAGCGTTTCTCTGGTCAGAGCAGTGGGATCACAGGTTTTGCACGGTGCTGCCTGCAGCCAAATTCCACATACGGCCTCAGCCAGCAGTAATTATGGCTCTTCCTCTTTATGTTGCCTCTTGGCACTGAGCCACCATAGGAAAGTAACATCAGCCACAGCCCTTTCAGAGAGGCTTTTTTTTTTTTTTTTGGATGACTTTGCAAGACCAGCAACTGTTGATCCATCTGCTATTTCAGTAACTGCTGCATATGAGAGCTCACCAGCAACTGTTCCTGCACTGCCCACTGCCTCTCATGAAAAATGCATGGGATGGCCGCGTACCAACTATGAGCAAGTCATCAAGTGGAGAAGGTCCTTGTATGTGTCCATTTTTATTCCTGTCATGAAAGCATTCGATCTTCAACAAGCCCTAGTAATACTGGCATGTTTAACTGTATTCTTAACTGTACCCTGTCACTCACATACAACTTTCACACAGGAAAAAAAATATTTTAGATTGTTTATGCTCATTTTCTGTGCAAAAGTGATCTATTTAACGTAATCATTTATGTTTTTTTTTATAATATTAAAAATGTCAAGATGATCATCATTCTTTTAAGTGAAAAATAAACTCAGGCCTTTTTCTATTGTAATGCTTCAGGAGGCTTTTGGTTTTAGTTATAGCTGGAGAGCAAAATGAACCCACTCACCTATCTGCTCCTGCTGCGACTGCCTGCAGAGTGCTGAAAGGACGTCTCTTTCTGTCATTAACGGGAACCGCCTGACCTTCCCTATAAAACACCTCTTCTGTACAAACATGAAAAACAACATCAAGGGCACTTCAGAAAATATTTTTCCAGGTTCCTTCCTAAATTAATGTCACAATTAATTTGACAAGTTTGTTTTTAAAAAAAACCCATCCACTGTACTGTGCAAGTGCCCCACCACACAGCTGAGTCAGATGAGAGCAGCAGTTACCTTTTGGAATGACTCAATTTCTGAAGCTCGTCCCATCGGTGTTTGACGGCAAAGTACCTGCTATGGGATAAAAGAGAATAAAAAAAACCTGGGAGATACTAGACCTGCAGAGAACAGCTGAAGTTCCAGAGCACAGTTAGACCCGTGAGTGCCATCTAGTGACTGATGGTATTTTATTCACATGCAGGGATAAGCCTGACAGCAACACCAGTTACTTAATAGCAGATCTCAGCTTTTTAGGTAACATGACCATATTTTGATGGATATTTTTTAACCTTATTTTTAACATTTAAATTGCTCCATATTCTAACCGATGAATTTTCTCTGATCACAACCATCAGGACATTACACACGTGCTGACTGTTGTATGCATTTTTCGCTAGCCGAACACTGAAAACATGACAGGCAGTCTTAACCTGAGTTAGTTCTGTATTGCAAACAAAAAAGTATTTTTCAAATTCCATATTTTTAAATGGACAGCATTAACCCCCCAATTTCCTTTTAAATGCAAGGCAGTTTTAAATGGAGAAATGAATCAAGAACTACTAAAAGACTTCTAAATAGGGAACCCTTCAATTGCATAAAACGTATGGAGATACGGGAGGAAGTTTCTCAGTGGTTCTATGAAAGCTTTAAAGACAACACTGAGTTCAAATTAAAAACACGCTCAGACTGCTACCTATGAATGTCACTGTAGCAGGATACTTAAGAAGAGAAGTCTAACCCCCAAATCTCTCTGAAAATAAGACCATGCCACAAAGCCTTTGAGAGCAATTTTTATTAGGATAGCAGAATGGAATTGCAGAAAGCCTATACCAGTACTCCTGGGTGTAGTTTCACCAGTACGTTGTTTTTATTTTGGATATTAAACTGCACGTTTAGAATTCAGCATGGCTTAGGGAACCAGAGAGAACAAGAGCTTGATTTCCTGAGTTAACATAGGACTTTGTACTTTGATTTTTTTTTTTCTCCCCAGACTTCAACCATACAGTACAGTATTTGATCTCTGTCTTTTTTCAGAGGGCTGCCTACAAACAAAAGCCATCACTTAGGTTACATATCTTGCAGTTTAGAAATTGAACTATGAAGAACACACCAAGAGAACTGATAGCAATATCTGTCTTCTATGTGACCTTTGCAGATGAAATCGGAATAGCTGGTATAGCGCTGCCGTAGGCCTGTGTGAATCGACTGGAGTTCCATGAATTACCCAGCCCTTCTAGTTCCCTTTCAATGGCATCCAAGTCACACCGATTCAGATAAATGCAGTCTTTGACCTGAGAGGCTTACAACCAGAAAGTATGCTATTTACTAGTAACGAGGGCAGCAAACTAGCACTACAGTTTTGTTTTAAATAAAATTTAGAGAATGGCAAGTTTCCATGCCAACAGACATGATCAAAAGGTACAGTGACTCATGTGATGCAGAAGTTACACACTTCAGTTTGACAGATAATTTGGCATTATTTTATTATGAATCTGAGTGAGCGTGAATGAAACAAAATCAGTACCAACTTTCTGCAAATGAAGACACAAAGATGTGAAAATTTGGTAATAGACAGTGCTCTCACAAGCCTGAAAACACTCAGGAAATGCAAGTTTCGGTAAATAAGGTGAATGTGGTTTAACTTTATTTACCTGCCAAAGAATCTGTCTAAGAACACTTAAACATAAAATTTCTTAGCTCCCTAACTTATAAAAAAATTTACTTTCAACAGAGGTGAGGTACTGGGCTGTCACTGTTTACACTAAATCGGAAATGAAAGCCAGATGAGAGGGGTGAATGAGGAAATAGCAAATATACAAGACATTAAAACCAAAAGAGAGCTACTGCTTGACACACTAGTTCTGAAAGGTTGCAAAGGCAGAGGCTGTATTGAAACTGAATTTAGGAGTACAGACAACCATCTGGGTGTGAGGGATTTTCTAACTCAACTTCCTGCACATCAAAATGATATGTGCTCCCAGATACCCATGGATTTCTGGAGATAAATCTGTTTGCTCAATAACACCCAGGTTCGACTGGCGGGGAAGAGACGGCAGTTTGATTGTATGGCAGTTTGACTGAGGAGCTATGATCGTCACACTTTAGACTGGGGAAAAAAGACAGGCAGTCAAGAGAAAAGTAACAGACACAGTAAAGGATGCTCAATTCTGAACAGAAAGGGCTTCCTTCAGCATGCGTAGGTGTGCCCTGGAGCAACGGGAAAACAGCTCTGCCTGATTAAGTTAGAATGATAGAATGATACTTGAAGTACTCATTAAATCATCTAACCTGTGTGTTTTTAAAACGTAGGAACAGTAGTAGCAAAGCGTACTCTATTACGGGTTATTGCTTAATCCTATTCTCATACCATTTTCAGTAGGAACTGTACAGCAATTGGGCTGGGAAGCAGCACGAGTGCCATCCCGTAAAACGCAGATGTTTCTTACACATTCTGATGGAAAAATATTCTAAGATGACTAGCAGAGCTGTCAGATTTAGTACTTGAATTCAAAATTAATATTTCCAAAATACCGACTTTTAACACAAAAACCAGTTTATCACTTTGGTACCTCTTGGTCCCCAATTTCTGAAACTCTTCCAAACTGGTTGCAATGTTGTTCTGTGCACGTTTCCCTAGCTACTCTGCATAGGTATGAAGAATAGAAGTGAAAAAGTTTGTGATCACATTTCACTACTCGTTTGCTACAGAATTTTTTTTCCAAAGTTTTCCCGAAGCAGGATATAAGCTATATTTGAATTCAATGACGCACACAAAAACTTGGGTTTCCCCGTTTAATAAACATTTTGTGGTAACATCAGCCAGATTTACATAAAGACCTGGACATTATTTCTGATTGGTTTTGTGGGGTTTGTTTGGTTTTTGTTTTATTATGTTACAAACTGAAGTTAAGGGGAACTTGCAACAAGTCCCACAAAGCACAGTGCAACATTTAAGAAGAAAGTAAACAAAACTGCCAAACACTCAATCATTTTCTGCCAGAACTGGGATATTTTTTCTAAGACATCAGTTTGGGAGGGGGATAAAATTCAATGAAGAATTATATGAACTCAAGATAGTGGGAACTGCAAGGAAAAATAAGAAATGACAGCCACAACCTTTTCAATTTAAGGGCAGAATATAAGTCTAAGATATTTTTGATAAATTCTGACAAGAAAAAGAAAACAGCATACTTTAAAGTATATTGAAGCAGTGATTTTTAAACAAAGAAAGCAGAACTAGAACATCTTAAATTTTAATCCTTTCTTTACAGGTTACCTAGCCCACTTTTGATTAAGAAAACTGTAGAAAGTTAGTAACAGCCACAAGTTAACACCGAAAGGTGGCACTTGTCAATTTTCCATAGAGTCCTGCTTTACGGGGTGTCTCAAATGCACTGCTCCGATCTTCTATCATACGTTGCTGACATCAATTGTGTCAGATTTTAGTCCACTGGTCGCTTTTCACCATATTTCTTTGTAAACTCTTCAGCGTTCTTACAGAATTTTTTACGGTCCTTAGAGTATTCTTCAGCTAGGTCAGCCCGGAGGGGATGCTCGGGCTGTGGATCATTCACCAGTGCTATGAGGGACTGGATTACTGTCAAAAGAAGTATAAATACCGTCAGAGACTAAAATGGTTAATTTTTAAAAATCAGAAAGTAAGCAAAATTCCCCAGTAAGAAAAGAGCTTTAACTGCATTTAAATACATCCCCATAAATCTAGGGTCTTTTCAAAAGCAGAGCATGAATAAGCTATAGCAATATGCCAAGATTTAGTTCAATGACCGTGAATGAACACCAGAAAATCGTATTTGTAAAAAAATCAACCCGAACAGAGACCAAAATACACTACAAATTATTTCCCATGTAACTGGCATCCTATCTGAAATACTCTCCTATGGCTAAGAAAGAAACTAAGTTTCACAGACAAATTCATCTAAAAGGGATTGGGTAAAAATGGAATTTCCATCACGAAACATTTTTGTCCTCACACCTGTCACAATGATGCAGTTGTAACCAGGCCTGCTTCTGGAAACCCTTTTTTCAGTTTTTCTATGCATCTTACTTCCCCTATGAACAGCAGACAATTCTTCCCTCTACTCTAAACTGCCAAATACATCCACTAGTAGAGATACACCAGGCAAACAAATGGGTAAGAACTGCAAGATGCTTTTCACCCCACTGTTTACAGCCATTACATCAATGTTCCCCTATCACTTTCAAAGGAAATGTCATTCCTAAAATAACTGAACTGTACTTGACATTTGCGCAGTAAACCTTGCATACTACAACGACACTTATTGCTACGTTTTCCTCATATACAATCTCATGACCATTTAAAGCTAGATAGGCGACAACAATCAGTTCTCCTATCCATCTGCTAGAAGGTACATGTGTAACTGGGCAAGTCTACAGAAAGCAGATACACAGAAAAAGCATTTCACTGTACGACAATACTAATGATATTCCGCTTGAGGTAAGTTTGGGCTACCCAGAGTAATACAAAGCAGCACCCCAAGAGTTTTCAAAGCAAGTATAATAAAACTCTGTTAACTTCATGCATTGCACACTAGAGCCAGCTGCCTCCTCCTGAACTCACATAAGCCACTGACACCTACACCATCCAGCAGCTGGGAGTTCGCAACTTGGCTACATGCTGTGCAAAAAGTCAGAGTCTATTGTTTGTTCTGAAACTGCTACTTAGCAGTTTAACTGGATTCTCCCTAATTTTGCAATGTAAGTGCTTACAATACTTATCACTCCAGTAGATGCTAGAATACCAGAGCGGCTTCTTTCAGAGCATCAATCTTTTCACGCTCATACTCTTTTCCACCCTTACCTGATAGGAATGGGGAACATACCTCAAAACAAATACTCAAAATCCAGAGAAGTACGCCTGTCGCTACATTGCTAAGCAGGAACATTTCTTACCACAAATCAGAGTTTAAACTGCAACAAACTATCTAAGGAATGTAGAATTGGTATTAGCTTACTTCACAGAAACTCACCAGTCCTGGACTTATGACAACTGTCATCATATTAATGACTACTTATGAAACTAGCATCAATACTGCACATGACAATCCCTTTTCACTCAGTAAAACATGCTAAAACACTACAGAGGAAGTGTTACTGTGTTATTAAGGTTATTTAACACACAAGCCAGAGAAAATTAAGAATGTCATAACAGGAGTTGCCTCAATATCCACAGCATTTTAAAATGCTAGTGTCACAACAGTGTTTTAATATTAAGCATAAATTAATAAAAAGTACAGCAGTAAGATGCACGTTTAGTATGTGAAAGGTGAATTAAAGATTTATGATGAACCTAATCTCTCTGCTTTCTTGACACCTGACTGATCAAAACCAATCACTTTGATGCTGTACTAATGATGTTGCATTACTTCCTTGAGAAAGGCCCAAGTAGCAAACAGACTGAAGTTTATTTTTCGGTGCAGAACAGTTCTGGAGAAAAAGGAACAGACACTTAAGCAGGGCTGTAGTAACATGTTGCAAGTTCATACAACTATGTAGTAACAACAGATGTTGACACTAAAACAACTTCTTGAAGAAGGAAAAGACAAACAAAAGACAAAACAGCAGAAATGGAGAGAGTTGCAATGTTTTGGTACCTAGGGTTTGTTCCAAATTCTGATTTTAGCATAGTTTTTATTCACTCTCAGATAAAAAAGGAATTGCTACTTCTCAGGCAGACACTGACTATTTCCTGCATGCAAACAATTGCTTCAATAGTTCCAACTAATGCAACTTGCATTTCAAGCTAGGCAGAGACTTGTCGTTCCTTTACTTAAATCTTACGAGCTTTCCCTAGTTAAGACAACTACTAAGGCATTAACAGAAGCCTTCTACACATTGCTTCCATTTTGTCTCTTCCAAGGGTCTTTGTCCTGTATAATCTGGGATAAATCAACAACAAATCATAAGATCTTCACTGACCTATTTAAGTTTAACAGGTTCTTTTTGCTGCCACCTCCACTTTCCCCAACATACAACTGCTTGATCTTTTCTGAAACAACTACAGGAATTTGCCTATTTTGTCTTTGGGGCAAGATCATGCAAACTGTAAGTACTTTTATTACCATACAGAAGTAAAAAAAAAAAAAAAAAAAAAAAAGACATCTCAAGCACAGCATTGTTTACTATTGGGAACACAGTTCAAGTGAAAACAACCTTAAAGGAGAGCCTGGAAAGAAGGAAATACTTTCTCCTACAGAGCAAGATACTCCCTGTCACTGAAGCTCTGGCACTGGACTAAACAGCTACTCATTTGAATCAATATTATTAAAAAATACACAGTTTTTGCAAGGATGTTTGCTCTTTCTATATGTACAATAATAAATGCTTAATATCAAACTAATCATAACCTGCCAGAAAACACAAAATTCTCACCCCAACAACTAATGGAAGCAACAATAGCAGAAAAAAAAAACCTACTCAGATTGCACTCGGTCTGCCACTGAACCTGCTGAAACTTTTTTCCTTTAAATATTTAAATGCTTATCCAAAGACACTCTACACAGTAAGCTTCCCAGCAGTGATCTTCTAAGAACTAAGAGTTAATTTGTGTTACGAATTCAGGTTTTGTTTATGACTCCCTAGATATTTCAAACCATACCTTCAAATCACTGAACCACATGGCAGAGATTATAAAATATACAAAGCCTCAAGGTTTTAGATCCTTTCTTTCAAACATCCAGGAATGTACTGAACACCTCTGGATTATACAGTCACTGTTTAAAAAGAAACATGAAATAATCCCCAAACTACCACCAGAATTTTTAAGTATGCCAAGGACACTACCTTAATAAACTCTTCAGTCATGAAGAGTTTTGTAGTTTCCTGGAGGTGGAAATGCCACACGTCAGTGTCATTACCTTACGTGCCAATAACAAAATGAGATCCCAAGAGTTGCATGCTGTGCTCACAACATGTGATTCATCACACAAACCTTACGACAACGAATATACCGTAAGAGCAGTGGCCAGCTGACAAGCTGAAACGCTATTAGCTTTAAATTTAAATATAATACAAAGTTTCGCGATATCCAGTTTGTTCTCCACGTGGAGTCCTACCTTGGTCAGTTTTGGTTGCTGGCTTCCAGTTTTCAGCACTAATTACTGGCAGACAAACCTGCCCCTTTTCATCGATGTTAGGGTGATAGATCTTTGTTTTAAATGTAATCTTAGGAGGTTTGAATGGGTATTCTGCTGGGAAGTTGATTTCGATTCTGAAGGCTCCTTTATCATACGGAGGATTGTCCTGCAACAAGAAGGCAGAATGTCAAGAATCTGGCACATTCTAATGGACACAATTAAGATAAAGCATGCTCCAGACTTCGATCTATCAAATGACCTCTTTTAAAGACACTTTCTTCCAACACATACTGCCATGTCCACGTGTCAGGAAACATCAAAACCTCTTTGGTAAGAAAGAGGCAATACCATCTCTACAACATTTGTATTCACCCTGGAAAAAGCAGATTACCATTGTTCTGAAGTTAGCTGACATTTCCACAGGTAAGAAAGCATCCAATCCCATTTACTCCAAACTCAAGGTCCTATCTAATAAGTAGTTTTATTCCCAACTTTGTATTTCAAAAAACATTGTAAACCCTTTCTGAGATACAAACAGGAAGCCTGACAAGGAAAATTGCTTTCTCTAAACCTAGTTATTTTACGTGTCTCACAACATGGTGGTACGAACAGCAAAGCAATTTGATTTGTCAGATTTCCCCATATGTTCCGAGAACATTTTTGTGCTGACTACACAAAAATCTGCTGAGCATTCATTGGTACTAAAGATAGATATTCACTGCGTCTGCTGATGAGAACATTCTGAATTTGTATGCAGTTTTAGCACCCACTCTTATCAGATCATTTTTGAAGGAGCATGATGAGAGAACCATGAAGTACGCAAAGTAGTTCTTCATATTGAAACAGAAAAAACAATGCCCAGAATCTCACTTACAAAACCTGTTAGGCTATTGATACTGCTTCAAATACTAACTGCAGAAGAAAGGCAGAAGAAAAATAAACCATTGCTACATTAAAAGCTTATGAAAAAGGTTTAAAAAAAAAAAAAAAGCTGCACTGAAAACAGTAACTATGGCACGAAGCCTTTCCAAACACTCTGGGAACAAGAATCAAAGGATGAGAGTTTCCAGTTGGTGTGAAGTGTAATCACACACATTATTCATTAGCAACCAGACCATTCCCTGCAATCAAACCCACTCCAGAAGTTAAAAAAGGTTTACCAATATTTGGGGGTGGGGAGTGTTCTATTAAAATATTATTCAACAGAAAACATTTAATTTTAGTTTCATCCATATGGAGAAGTCTGGTTGTGCGTTTTCTAAGAAATACAGCACAATTTCTGCAGTCAATGGAAAAGGTAACTAGCGTGGCTTTAAAATCACTTTTTATCCAAGCAATCCCAAAAAGCTTTGGAAGTTTAACAGATAACTGGTGGTGGTGACAACTTAAGCAGTTAGTGCCCTCTCCCCCCATGGCTCACTTGTTCTTGCCTCCATCACATGCTATAATTTGTGAGGGTGTTCAGTGAACTGATACGGGAACTGACCTGCCTTAAAAATGTCCATTTTCTGCTTGACTCTCAGTCAGAACAGTTCTTCACTATAACTCAACAATAAATTGAACCAAAAATGCATACAAATGGTTGCTCATGTTTTAAATAGACAAACCACGGAATATTCAATGAATTAATTTCCAATTATTTGTTGTATTTATTTTGACACTGACAAGGGAGAGAAGCAGAATTATAAATACTGAAACACAAGCAACAAACATGACTCACATTACCTGAAGTATTTTTGCTCTGCAAAAATTCATCCATAGCAAGCAGTTTTGATTAAGTGAAATGAAATTCATGGTACACCAACAGTACTTCTTACAAGAACAAGGAGTCTGGGGTAGTCTCATTTTGATGTTGAAATCAAACAAGTAGTGTACCTTTGCAACACACAGTACATACACTACCTCATTCTAAACTTAGAACAGGAAAAGAAGTTGACAAACTACCTTCAATTTGCTTCTCAATTGAGCAAACATCCTTAAAAACTAACAGTTGTTCTGAAGAACAAAATATGTTACATACAACAAAAACTTTTAAAGCAGTATCTTTCACAGTAATTCTACATGAAGACTGTTAAAAATATTAACCTTTGTATCTTTCACACCTTCACTAAGAAGCTGACCAAAATAATGCCTAGTTATAGAGTTTAATAATCAGAAACTGGTTAATCCTACTAAAGCAGGAGTAATATGTCTTTAAACCCTAAGCAAGAACATTTTCTAAAATGGAAACAGCATGTAAAACTTCAAAAGCAAAAACTGGGGAAAAAAATTAAACTTGCAACCAGCTTGTAATATTACATTTTTAAGCCATCAACTCCAGCGTTGCAATAGCTAAAAAAATTATGCTAAAACTAAAGCATCTTCTATAGCGTATCCTCAAAATAATAAACTATACTACTCTTCAAACACATAAACCACAACACTTTATTAATCAGTATAGGAAGTATAATTTCATGACAAAATTCCCTCTTAACTACACCAGCAGTGAATTTAAGGCTATTTCCTTTGTAACAGGGCATATTATAAACCAAAAGGCAGGTATGAAGCACAGTTCACTGCATCAATGCTTAAACACTTGTGATGTTGTGAACCTTTGCAAAACAAACACTAAGCTTGTACTCTAGTGAGCAGAAACTGTTAAAAACAGATCTGTACGGCACATACTGCTAATTTTAACAGGAATAAACAAGTATTTTGGTGTTTTGCTTTATTAGTCATGTTTACCAACCTTATACTGCTTCAAAGTATTATCAAAGCAGTAAACTGTTACACATGAACCACAAATATCAGAGTGGCTTATTAAAGCATATTGTTTCTCAGCTCTGTCAGATCTTAATGTCAAATCCTGCTTGCTTTTATTGAAGTGCAAAGGCCTAGCCATTATCTTGGCCTGTGAGATCTGAATTAGGGAATGGCCTCCAACTAACAAAGCAGGGACACTGCTAAAGAGATGTTTCAAAGTCTTCTAATAAAAAGATTTACACTAGTCAGCTGACCTTTCAGGTAGCACCCAAGGAGAAGCAGAAGTGACGCCCTAGTGGCACAGCCTCTATTGCTGCAGATTTCAAAATAGCTCATGTAACAAAGGGAGCATGGGCCATGGCAGCGGAAAATAAAGGAAGTGAAAATCCAAGTGACTTCAACCAAGGAATTCAACATACTATATTTCCTGCTTTCCCCTTGTCATGGTTTACCCCCAGCCAGCAACTAAACACCACGCAGCCGCTCACTCACTCCCCCCCCACCCAGCTGAAACCAGGACACCCCTTCATAACAAATCCCCCTCTGTCTGACTAATACAGTGGTTATCTACTTCTATTAATCATTCTCTTAAAAGACTGTAGTGCTTTTAAAAAATAAAAGTGTTGGGGGGGGGGGGCATTAATTAATGCCTAAAGAGACTTTCTTTTAAAGAGCTCACTTCTGAAAATCCAAACCTTTTCCTTGCCTCAAACTTTTTCCAATACTCAAATTTTATTCTAGAAATAAATCTAGTTGATTTTAAAAAAAATAATCTATTAAGGAATAAACAAAATATTTCATACCTTAGTTTTTTTCCCCTATGAGGATGTAGATTTTGTACTTTAAGCTTAATGTAATAAACTACAGACTTCATTTACTTCCCCCTTCCAACACCTCTCCCAAGTAACCCAGTGCCATCACTGAGTCCACAGCCCTCGCCAGCTGCAGCCATGTGTTGCACCAGGCCTACAATTACGAAGCATCCAGGTAGGTATTGATCAGAGAAGTCTAGAACACCTTTCAATTACGTATGGATTTTTCTTCAGATTATTTATAAGAAACACCTACTAATGTTATCAAACTTTGATAAAACAAAACACAGAAGACGCTCAAATAAAATGAGACAGGAAGTTCACACTATTTGCCCAAGATTACACAAGATGCCTGAAGAGAGACAGGAATTAAATCCAGGAGCACACTTCACTGCCCAGAGTATGTTTAAGATGGTGCAGTATAATCTATATAAACTTACGTTGTATTTATAAACAACTAGCTTCTGCACAAACCTACAACTCTGAAAGCCAGGTTTTATAGTAAGAGATTCTTGCCAGGGTGCAAAAGTTATCTAATGGTCACCAGCAGCACTACTAAACTTTAGATTTATGAGATACAAATGATCCTCATTTTATTTTAAAGCTCATTAGAATAAGAAGTCATCTATACTCACAGGAACAATAAGCCCTTGCCAGGTCAATAAATTAGCTTCATCAACCTGGATATTACGGAAGTTTTTCATTCCACATTTGCGGATTTCTTCAAGCTCCTGAAAAGCAAGCAAAGTGTAAGTGTAAGTTAATAACAGTATTAAGCAAGATGCTCCTATTTATTTTTCAAAATGCTTAGAGGTCAGTGTGGGTTTATTTAACATTAAAGAAGCTTGGGGTTTTAGCGGTGGCAACTCACACAAATAAGAAATAAAATTTTGCACCTGTGAGAAGTAAAATTCTCTGAGACAAGGTATTTAAAAAACCCTCATTTTTTGATGTCAGGAAAGTACAAAAATGCCTTGTTATTAACATAATTACAGACATGAAGACGTATTAAAGTGCGTTTAAAAATGTTTTTATACCTCGAATGCAAAATTAGTGCCTCTGGTAACAGATTATTGATAACTCTGTGAAGCACAGAAATAAAGTGCATCTTAGTTCTTCCAAATCTGTTTTCCTTCACACAAGTCCTATTTCATAACAGTTTTAAAAATGGATAAAGTCACTGAACAGTCCAATTATTTCAACTGTTCCTGCATGACCAACTTAATTTGGTGCAAACCCAGAAAAAGTAACAATCGAAGCCAAACTAGCCTTATTTAGACAAATCACTTGAGAAGATACAGCTTTCTCTCTGTTTTGTACCTCAAAGTTCACAGTATATTATAAGATACCTCTCTTTATAGCTCTATCACTCTTAAACAAGGTATCCTTCTGCACCAGTCAAATCAGTTTTGATCAGTTAGTGATCCAGGTATCACCAAAACAAGTATTTAGGCATTTTTATATTTAAAATTATGTATAAGCCCTGGTGTAGCAACTTTTTCCTGGAGTATTTTCTAAGACCTAAAAAGAAACACCTCAAGGTTCCACTTTTGTTTTTTGCACAACAATTACAGCCCTTTGCTGTTGAATTCAGCAGTTTTGTCTTTAAAGAGAATTTCACTGAATTCAAATTCAAAAGCAATCCACACTGAAATATAATACTTCCCCTGTGCTTTCAAAACTGAAGCACATGCCTGCATGTCTACATAGGTTAGGAAAAATGTTGCTTATACAGCAACACTGGTGCACTCTGCCAGCACGCAGCTCTTCAATGGGTACTAGCATATTTGCAAAACTAGACTGTATATTATGATAAAAACACCAACACTATACACTGAAAAACAAAAAAGATCAGTTTTCCTGATACAGATGCTGTACTGTCCATGTTTTGGGTTTTTTGGTTTGTTTTTGTTTTGTTTTGTTTTTTTTTTTTTACAATAGCTCTATGTTCATCTTAGATCACACCCTTCTGCATCTGACTGGCAGAGATTTAATACTTGCAGTAATCTCTTGCATAAACTTAGCATCATGATAAAATGCAAGCCCAAAGGGAAAACGAGATTTTAAAAAGAACAAAAAAAAAAAAAAAAAAAAAAAAAAAAAAAAAAAATCACATGACAGCCACACATCAGGAGATGAACATTTACATTCCCACCCACTGCACCTACCAAAGCAAGAGCATACTCGGAACACAAAATTTTAACCTTGGATATTGAATTGATGCCCAACACAATCTTCACGACACTAAAACCGACTACTTAGTTTAGACCTCTGGATTAATCCCCAAATTCCACTGCTGTTAGATTTACACAATATCACAGACAGTTTGGGCCTTTTTTTTTTTTTTTAAACAGGGTAAGAGGATTATCCTATTTCCTTAAAGCAGAAAAACATACAAAAACCACACAAAAATAATCCTATGAAGCATATCTATAGGGATACAGAGCAACCCAAAATATTCAAAAGAAAATAACCTTTATTATAGCAGCCATAAGAGATCCTTTACGATCACTGAAACTGCAAATCCACATAGTGCCTTACAGCTGGCTTTCAGTGCTCAGTGCACAAAGCAGCAGGTCAGGGAGAGTCTGACTGATACCAGACTGATGCTTCCCCGACAGGGTCAGGGGAGTAACTCACTCAGAACAGCGTTTTCAGCAGCTCGCTCACTACGTGTACAGAACGGTGAAGTCCTGGCAAACCACTACTGCACAGCACGTAAGAGGGTTAAATCCCATTCCACATCAGATGTAACACATCAAACACTGGGAACAAAATAAGCTAATTAACCAGTAGGTATTTAAGCATAAACAAATGTGCATCACAAGTGCCTTCACTCTAAAACAAGGAAAGGAAAATGGGTTTAGACAATTTTCTAGTTACTATATTAAAAACATTATGGGGAAAATTTCTGTCGTATGTATAATGTCCCAGTGGGAGTGCAGCTTCCATGCAGAAGCTTTTAACACAGGTTCAGATGATAGCATTACACTGCTTCTGGTCCAGAGAACAATTGGCCGGACACAGAAAAAGGGAGAACTATGACTGTATAATTCAGGTATGTTATTAAGCTAATAAAACAAATTAGAAAAGCATGGCTTCACATTACTAGAAAATTAAACACCTACATTTTATAATTAGATTCAGGTTAAAAAATTGGATGCTGAACGAAGAAATGCAAGAATCCAGTACAGAGATCATTACGAAATTGTAAAACTCTGTATGAAAGCAAAGTTAAGTTTAAAACAAATATGCAAATTGCTGCCCATTTTCCCTCAAGTCCACTACATGAGAAAGGGAATTTAACAGCCTAGAAGACACTAAAGAACTAGCCGAAAATTATTTGGGACATCTTCCTCTTTAAACTGACGCATGAAGCCTTTGCAGGAATTCACTTTCAAAAATCAAAAAAGGGGTAAATTACTACAGTGTTTCGGGACTATATCCTGGGCTGCTTCTGCTGCCTTGGGTCCTGCGGTAGTAACTGACAACTGAAAAACAGGATAGATGGGGATAAACCAGGCAACTCTTTTCCTCACACACAGGCAGGACTGCAAAGGTCATGGAGAATCAAGCCTACCTTAGCAGAGAATTTGCCTGAACTACATGCTTAAGAGAGATTCCAATTTATAAGAGAAATTACTTTTCTTATAGTAGAAGTGTTTAAGATTTCATATGTCACTCCAAATTAATCAAGTCCATGATAGACTTTTGTACAAATAGCTTTTTTTTCATACTACTATCCCCGGAAATACAATGTAATACTATACTTCCAAGTCATGCTTTTAGGGTTTTTGTGTCTACTGCATCAGGAGTGGTAAGAGATTCACCATTCATAATTGAAGGGTGTGAAGGGGGGGTTGCTTTGTTTTTTTTTCTAGCAACTGCCAAAACCCATAATAAAGATCTAACTGCCTCAGAGCTCCAGAGGCAGACACAACTACAGTATAAATGTACTGTTAAAAAAGTGAATGAGCTACTAAATACTTTCAAACAACACACATTAAAAGTTAATGCTGCATTTAACATGGGCTTGAGCAACTCCAAAGGGACAAAAATTACTTTACGGAGGTAAAAGGATATAATACAGATATTTATTTCAAAATAATACTTAAGAGTCTAGGCAGACAGTAAATAGATTAATTCCTTTTCTTGTCCTCCACCCCTTAATTTTGTCAAGTAACATAATTAAAGGAGCACAGGAGGGGTGTAACTAAAGGTTAGAAGACTGCAGTAAGAATTTCAATGAGTCTTCATTCCCCACTCTGTTATCAGCCTTGCATGTGACCTTGCTGCATTGATTTCCCCATCTGTAAAATAGAAATGTCTTATTTCACGAGGGTCTCTTGAGATGTGATGTTTGTAGTTTGGATATGTTCAGAGAAAGTGTTATACACAGCACATGAAATGGAGAAAACACTGTCAGAGGTGGTATCTGATCTTCAAGTATAATGCTGAAGGCAGTCATAAAAGTACATACTACCTCCCATATATAATCAATAAGGATTTAAAATTCTGATTTTTCAATATTGTGTAATCATTTGTGCTGTTCAAAGCAAAAACTAAATTTGAAAGAATAAAGAAAAGTGGCATCAGCTTAAAACGTAGTCAAGTCTTCTAAAAACCCTGCAACTGAAACTGTTTTGCCCATGGATCTTTCAAGGTTTGGGACTTCTCCAGAAAAACAAGTGCAGTGAAGACAAACACTTGTAAGAGTGCAATCCAAGTATACAGGAATAAGTGTAAGAGCTCATACTGACTTCAGCAAGTTCTGCATCAAGCCCAAAATGCTATTAAATGCACAAAGAAAAACCAAAAGTTTACTGAAATAACGCTAAACCGTGATTCTCTACTGCTTATAACATATGTTTACCTGTTTATAAATACATTCTCTAAAAGAAGTGTGACAAAGTTAACCAGGCTCCAATACACTGATAAGGAACTGGCCAGTTTTACTTTCCAAATCTCATACAGTACAAAGAAGTGTTAAAACACCTTAAAATAAAATATAATTTTACAAAAAAACCCATAAAACCAACCCAAACCCCAAACAGATTCTAGCTCTTGTATAAACTATTATTAAGTTTCCTCTGCAACAGTACAACCCTGTATACTCACATGTCTTTTATTTACTGAGTAATCCTACTTTTTGGCAAAGTATTTTCATTTGATTAAAAATCCTTTTGTCAGTTCTCAGTTTCAAAAAGGGAAAATGAACCAATATTCTCACTTCCACATAAGAACAATCATACATTGCTCAAAACCACATTTCCCTTGTTACTGAGAACCGGTGTTTGGATCAATTCGGTATTTGAAAAACAATTCTAAAGTTGTTTAAAACCCCTTTATTTGGAAGGGCTACGGTATTTACAACACCACAGCATACTGTGGATTGCAGGCCATCTACAGCAGGTACCTGGGTGTGGCCTTGTGTTCGTATTTTATCACAGAGTTCAACAGTTGCATAAATGTTTGACTATGCAATTACGGAAGCAGAGTAAAAAGAGTGAGATTAAAATAATTATCTACATACCTCGCTTCATATGTGAAGTGTTATTTACTCTTTAAATCTATTTCCAGTTTTTAATACTAAAGATGCTTTTGAACATCTAAAAACCAGAAAACAAAAGCACAAATCTTCCCGACACCTTAGCTCAATCACATTGCCGATCAACACAGAAGGGAGTAGCCCCACACGTGGGACAGGGCAGCTTTCTCAAATACTATCCCAAAACCCCTGTTGAAGGTGCATCTCAGTACCACACGTTACTACACCACCAAGTACGTACTATGACTATCCAGCACTGAAATAGCCTTCCCTTTGCGACTACCCACTACCTCTCCACATAGCATTTAGCTACAGCTATCGCATGGAAAACGGCTTGTTTTACATTAGTGGGTGGCAACTGTGAAAAGCACTTCATTGAAATCGCTGGCATGTCTCTTGGAGACTATGTTCCCAATCATACATGTTTGGGGACAATTTGGTTTTTGCAAGAACGGGTCGTGAAGCAAAGTAGCTCCCTCAAAAGAGAAGCCTTAGCTCCTTTCCTAAAACAATTACTCCATATTTGCCTGTTTTTACCCTGAGAGATCGTCCATAACAACATATCCTTGACAAAGACTGCTTTATTCCCACCTCTCACATTTCACGAGGAGTCAAGATCTGACAACTGTGGCTCTTTGAAGAGGTGTAATGGTGGCTCATAGATCAAAACTCCACCTCAGATGTCATTGGAATATGATTCATTAGCTGTGTTTACTTCACATTTTTGCTAACCTAGGTGAGTTCCTGGAAAGGGCACACCTCCACTGACTGTTTTGTAAATCAGTAGTAGAGAAAACTTCAGTTAAGACTATTTGATGGTATAAAGTTCTGCAAAAATAGGCCTCAAATAAGGTCTCTGGCCAAAGAAACGCGATTTGCTCAAACAGACCCTGAGATAATAAGATCATTTTATTCTTGTTATAACTTGACTTCATGTTTAAAATTGAACTGTACACGTACAATGGCAAAGTTTGTAATGCTACTTTCAGAAGGACATTTGCAAACTGAAGATACAAATGGCTTCTGCAATCCGAAAAGGACACCCATTTCCACGTGGAAGGTGGAAACTATACTTATACTCCCAGTTTTCTACGGGCAGACAGTGTGTTATTATGAACTTATGACATCCAGTCTCTTTGAGCCACTGTGATTAATATGAATAACATGATGCATGACACAAGTCCAGGAAAAATGCAGTACTTCAAAATGTTGGCAAGACCTTAAGGAAATGGGAATTGCTTTATTTTATGTGCCCTATAAAAGGGTCAAAGTTTATTCTTGCTTACTAAAGACACACTTGATAACTGGCTCAAAGAAAAGACAGTTAATGCTTATCCTAAATTATTTTAACCAAAATTGAGTGACACACCAAAAAACTCTATTTCCTTTAGTTATAATCACTCATCATTCTACGACCCCGAGAAAGACACACCACAAACTCTTCTGTATTGCAAAACTTCAACAGTGAAAGACTTTTTAAAGTGGATCTGTGAATTTGGAACTTAAACAATGATATTGGGTTGATACACATGTGAGTTTGAACCTCCAAAACATCATGCTGCAGCAATCCAGATTACATCATCTGTATAAGAGCTCTACTTTGTTCCTACTGAGATGAATGGCAAAACTCAAAGCCATTTGGGCTGACTCGACTCTCCAAAAGGCACAAAGGTAGCTGCTTATTTAATAACCTTTACAAGTTGTGTGATACAGCGTCTCACAGCTCTTGAACTGGCACAAAATCCACACACAACACGCACAACCCACAAACATCAGGCAATAAAAACGAAAGTAAAAATGTAACAGAGAAGTTATCAATGTCTCCTTCCTTCCTACACCACTCCCTCTGAAAAACAACTGCCACACCATTCTTCTAGAAAACGAGGAGGTCAGGTTGTCAAAAAAACATTTTTACGGCATTTTAGTGAAAGATTAAATTACTAAACTAATGTTTCAGAAGCATAGTGGAACTGAGGAGGGGGGCTGAAAAGCAAGAGGCACTGCAGATATTACGCACAATTTTTCTTGCCTTTCAGATTTTTATGTTCTATTTAAATTTAAAAAGAAGAAATAATTGGAAATATATTTTTTTCCCTACCAGAGTAGTAGTTATGTGTTTTTGAACAATTCATTTTTTCAGAACAGGCAGAAAAGCTGCCTTACAAAAATATAAAATGAAATGGTTGTTTACAGTCTGAAACTAAGGGGAAACTTATTTGAGTATAAAGCAACAGACATATTGATTATGATACTAAAGCTGTGACAAAACACAACAGCTATCAAAAATGAAATAAGAAAAATGAATGCCATCTCATCAGGATCCTTAGGACAATTAAAGGTTTATGCCTACTGATTTAAGATCTGTGAATGACTCTGCACACAACGTATCTACTATTTAATTCTTAATTGTTCCATAGCGCATTTAAAACAACAAAACTAGCCTTATGAAAGCACTGTTGAGCTATCAGTCTCTTAAAAAATAACCAAGTTGTAATGGTTAATTATGTATCTGCACAATTAAGGAAATACAACTTCAAAACCTGCCATCTACACATCCTAGTGAAATCCCAGCCCTATTAGGGATCCACATCCTTGAAGCCAACTGCAAGACTGATATTAAAAGATTAACAGAATCGCCCGTGTAGCTGTCAAATCCTAGCGCATGGTTACATCGCACCCCACAGGGACAGGTTTTTTAATAAGGCTAAAACATCGCCTGACAGTTACAGGGTCTTTCCCCTGCGTTTCACCGAACTAGCCTGTGAAGTTCATTGGTTTACATTACAGGCCCTTTGCATGCAAACACTGTAGGGTATTGCCATAGCATTTTACAGATGACTAAATTTTACACCACTATGTATGCATGTCCTAGGCAAACCCCACTGCATACAGTCTGTGATGTTAATTGGCAATTAGATACAACACATAAAATAAACTTGTATGCTTTGGGGGCAGTGGTTATCATCTTCTTTCTAAGAAGTGCCTTACTCCTCAAGCAAAACGAGGAGAAACAATCCCAAGCAGCATTTTACAATAAACTATACACGCTCTCGGTTAAACCCCAACCGAGGCCGAGTTTGCGAGCATCATCCACGCTTCAGAACAAACAGAGCGAAGAGAAAAACATTACCACGTCTGCAGCGAAGGAGGAAACTTCTGAACCCAGGTCCATATTTCAGTGCGATAAACCTCTTACTCATACAAGGAAGTGGTTACTCTCCGAAACAACGAAAACGAAATTATTTCATCCCTGAGCGTTTGGGGAAGGTTCCCTGCCGAGGGAAGAGCGGGGGGGAGCGGAGAACCCCCACCCGCAGGGAGGGAAGGAGGCAGGAGAGGCCGCTTCCCCGCCGCCCGGCCGAGCCCTCCCCGCGGGCAGGGCCGGGGACCGCGCCGCGGCTGCGG